TGACTAAATAGTTGCTTGGCTTCCTAATCCATACTCCCTTTTCCTACTAGGACTTAAATCCTATTCAGAATCTCAGCCCTAACACCCAGAAGGCAATGTCCTGATTCCAATGCTTTATTTATATAGATAATTAAAAAACAGACTAAGGGAGGAAAAATGGATGATTAAATTATGTGGTTTTCCTTGTCATATTTATTTCCAGTGGATTATTTGACCCCTCAAATTTTGGACAAGTATTTTGCAAATGATCCTGGATTCAGACTATGTAGAATTACAAAATGAGTACTGTGACATTTACTAATCCCTGGCTAGGATAATACTTAACCCACACACACCACCTGGGACCAAGATGATGCCAACAACAAATCATAATATTGCCAGAACAGAGAGTACTACTGCAGCATCCCATCCACCCGATGCAGACACTGGCCCGCAGTGTCCACGTCATTATGGATGAAATGAGACATTCACATGGATTACTGAGTCCCGTGAAGGAAAAGGGACAGCATGGCTTTTCTCTCAAGGGGAGCAAAAGCCACAGCCTCTGCCATGACAGGCCTTTATTTCTCTTTCTGGGCACATTACATGATGGCCCTCATTTACTATGCATGGGTTTGCTTTAGGTGGTTACCTTTTACAGAAAACAAAGAAGCCAATGCTGCTAATCACATCACAGAAGAGGGATATTTGCAAATGAAAGGGCAAAAGTAGTTGAACCAGTTACTGTCATCCTTAGAAGGTTTAGCATGGATTTTAGGAAGTTACTGTGCAGTAAATGTCCTCAACTCAGGGTGAGGGAGTTTTAGCAAAGAGCAAGACTCAAAGTGGCCTAGGCACATTGCAGATTCCCCACAGGAGAACCTATCCTTGGGCATGGGTCCTGTGCATCTCCCAGTGGGAGCTGGGCCCAAGCCACGCAGAACGGTCTCCTACATCCACCAGACTGGAACACCTTCAATATTGACTTTCCTGGACTTGGGCAATTTCCTGTAGACCTCTTGATTTCTACTGCAGCTCTGCAACAGAGTTGGCTCCCCTAATTTCTCCCATTTCTAGCTTTTTCCGTTCATTAATAGGCTTCACTGCTCTACATGCCCCATCTTTGACCTTCTGCTTGCCCTGGAAATTATAGAAGAATTTGATCACATTTACCCAAGGAAAGCATAATGTATTATTTACTCTAAACCATCTTTCTGAAGTTTTATATGTCTTATTTATGTAGATACTTAAAAAAATAGAGTGAAGGAGAAAAAAAGGATAATTAAATAAATTAAGTGGTTTGCTTTGTCATATTTATTTCCAGTGGATTGTTTGACCCCTTAAACTTTAGATGACAAAATAATTTATTTTGCAAAAACTGTCCTGTCAAATGATTCTGGACTCAGACTATGTAGGATTACTGTAGCATCCAGCAAACGCGAGAACAAATATCGGAGACTTTCAGGGTATCAAAGATGTTACTTTATTGGCCAAGTTTAACCTGCGCAGGGGCGAACTCTTAAAGTGTCCAGCGACACAGTGCCCACAAGGAGCTGCAAACGAGAGCCGCGCCGAGCGCTTACAACTACGTTCTTATATATATGGGTGGGCAAGCAAGCGTTATACAGAAGCAGACGTGGCAGTTAGTAATTTGCTTACAAAGACCGCGCACGGGAATTTCAAAACAAGCATTCTTTCATAAGGCGGGAAGGCAGGCTGCTTGTTCATTAACCTAGTAATCTCCTGGCTCTAGCTAGCTAGTTTTCTATTTTCTCATTAAAAACTACAAAGCACTGCTTATCTAGCCTACCCAGGGGAGAGCGTCTGCTAGACACAGGATGTTTGCTTTAACTGTACTTTGTCTCTTTTATCATTTCTTTTTAGCTACAATGTGGTTCTTGTCTATTAAGGTTAAATTTAGTTCTTAATTTCCTTGTTCCCAACAATTACAAAATGAGTTCTGTAATGTATACTGATCCCTGAACACCTCTAAAACCCTTCTAAGAACTGGCATAGTCCTTTGTGCTCTAGTTTATTCCAAACTGGGGACCCTAAGGTCTAGAAATGAAATGGCACATATGAAAGCACTTTCAAAGTTCAGAATTGTCTGGCAATGTGCCCATGTACGCTTGGAAATTTGTTACAAGTAGCATTATCAATCAGTGAAGAAAAGATTAATTAATTAATTAATTAATATTGTTGAGACAATTGGCTAACCACTTGGAAAAAATAAAGCTAAATTCCTAATGGACTATTTTCTTTAAATTCTAGATGTATTAAATATTTAACTATCAAAAAAACATTGAATGACGAGAAGAAAATTTGTTTATAAGCTTAGAATTTTCTTAAACATAACTCAAAGCTTAGGATGTTACAGAACACAAAGCGGGGGCAAAGGCAATATACTATTACTGAAAGGAACCCCCTAGGTTCGTTCTGTCTGCTGCCTTATAGGAAAGACATCTCTCAATGCCAGAGATTTGTGAAAAGGAAAGGAAATGCTTATTTAAAACTATACAGACTTAAAGTAGTGACCCAGTGTCTTCATTAAAGTATCCCAAAGTCCCTTAAGACACCCACAAACACACACAGTCCTTCCTTCCCCCCTTTGCCCAGTTGGGGGTACCATATCTCAGGAAAAGAAATAGAAGTCCATGGCTCAGGCAGCCCCCAGTTCTCCCCAGTAATCCATCTGAGCTGGTAGGCTGTCCTCAGTTCCTGGCACCATCAGCTGTGTTGCCAGGATCTCTGCTAAAGCCAGGTGGTGGTTGCCCTTACTAAAGCCGAAGGGGTCCCCACTCTGGCAAAGCCGCATGGTTCTCCCTTCAATGGCTGCTGAGTCTCCCTTTAAATCCCAGACCATCTTCCTCCGCAGCCCCATTTCCAACTCCTCCCACAATTGGCTACACTTGCCAGGACTCCCATATCCTTCCAGTTTTATTGGGCTGCCATAGTGAGTCTGGACAAGCGTGGGCCCATGTCATGGAGCCAATCTTCTCCAAGCTCCCACACAGGTGGTGTAACTCAGGGGAGTTGCCTCCCAGTTATATCTTGGGGGCAAGTCACTTCCATCCCCCTGGCTCACAGCATGGCCACAGCTATTTAACACATATATGCAACCAGTTAAAGGCTATAGATATGTTAAATGACCACACCAGAGGTTAGCTACAAGGCTGTTGCTATGCAAACTAACTCTCAAAGACCCTGCTCTAGGTGTCTCTTCCCCAGCTCCCGCCTGTGGGGGAATGGGTGAGGACATCCTAATATTTCCTGGACACCTTGAGTTCTGGACCCCATTCCAAATCCCTATTTGGGGCCCCCCTCTTGGCTGCACCCTGTTACAAGAATACATAAAAGACTGTTCAGTTTGGCTTCTTACAAATTAAAAATTGGTACAACCAAAAGTACTATTAAAAAGTCAAAAGATAAACAAGTTGGGGAAAATATCTGGAGATGAAAGATAAGAAGTCAATGTTTTCCATTCTCAATGATTCAAGTTATTATAAATCATTTTTGAGGTGAATAATCTAATAGAAAAACACTGTTTACAAAAAAAGAAATGCAAATGGCCAAAAATGTCAAATTATGTTCACCTTCCCTAATCATCACGAAAATATCAATTAAAACAAGAAATAAGATTCTTTATGTTAGATTAGTACGATTAGGCAACATGATAACACCCTCATCTTATAGCATCTGGGTACTGTAATAATTTATTATTAGGCAGTAATTTGGGACAATTCCTCTAAAGAATAAGTTTTCAATAGAGATATGAAAAATGTAAGTGCACATATCCTATGACCATCAAGTCCTCTTCAAGAAATTTATCCCACTCCCCTAAATGTGCAAAGGTATCTATTTATGAGTATTAATTGCAGCATTGTTCCTAATAACAAAGCCTAATTAGTGATCAATAGGACTATGGGAAAATAAACAGAATAATACACTTCCATTAAAAACAATCATGTAAGTCAGTACATACTGATATGGAAAGATTTCTAAATATACCATGCAGAACAGTATTTTGAGTTAAAGCACATAGACACAATGCATGTATCCAAAATATCTGGATGTTTACAATACAGTGTTTTATCATGGGGGATACTGGGGGCGGGGGCGGGGGGGGGGGGAAGGCTAACGCAAAGATAAGGTAGCCAGCAGGTCAAGCTACAATAGAAGTCATTGGTCCTTGTCATTGGTCCTGTACAAGAATCGCCCTGATTAGTCACTGGAATAACCTGGGGAATAGCTCGAGAGGCTGAGTTAAGATTGCTCTTCTGTTTTGTGCTGATGTTTCTGAAGATCTATATAATCTTTAAAGCAGGAATATCTTTTAGTTATTTATTTCATCATAACACCTGTGTCTCTCATTCCGGCGCTGATGAGTTTGAATTGCTTTGAGAATAAACTTTTGAAATAAGTTGTCCTTACGTAACTTCCATGAAATAACGAACAGAGTTGTTTCTGTGCAAAACTGTTTTTGCTTCTATTGTGTAAGAAATCTCTAAAACTCAATGACGGTTCCTGAAGCTACAGAGAAAGCATTTCTATAAACTGTCCCTTCTCTGTAAACCAGTTGCCATTCAACCACATTTCTCATCAGCTTTTTTCTGCATAAATGTCTTTCCTAGTGATGTGTACATCAACGTCAAAGATCCGTGAGACAACTATAAACTGTTCAGAGTATGCTGGCCTGAAATCCAGTCGAGCTTCACGTTTTCTCCTTCCCTTGAAACTTAGAGGCCACATAGGCAGGTATGCCTTTTGACCTCAGGAAATCAGTAAACAGCCTCCCCACAGCGACAAACAACTCAAAAGCCGTCATCAAGGGCAGAGTGTGGAAGGAATACAGCAGCGCGCCCCCCATCCTGTCCCCCACGTCCCCACCCGCTAGCCTCCGGCTCACTACAGGTGAGAACCTTAGAGTAGGAGCGGGAGAGCAAAGGAGACTACAATTCCCAGTAAGCTTAGAGGGAACGGGACCACGCACGCGCGGCCCAGAGGCTGGGAAAAAGGTCTTGCTGCAGCTTCTGAGAGAGAAAAATGGCAGCGCCCATGTTGCTACCTGGCCTGGGCAGGCTCTTTGAGATGCCAGCGGCGCTGGTGCACGTGAGCCGAGCTTACAGCAAGCCCCAGGCCTTCACGGAGGTTCTACAACTGCCAAAACGGCAATTGACGAAGTTTGTGTTCCCATTGCAGGAACTTCAGCGGCACCTCCTTTCCGACTCCACATCCGACCTTCACCTGAAGACCTTCGACCCGAGCCTGGAGGACCTCGCGAGGGCGGAGAGCTTCTTTACGGCCACTACGGGGAACCGCATCGAGTACCTCAGTTCCGCTGTGCGTCTGGACCACGCCCCGGACCTTCCCCGCCCTGAGGTGAGAGCGCTACTGCTGGCCAGCGGTGAGTGCTGGGGAAGGGGTTTTGCTTTCACCTATTTGTTGTCACAAAACGAGTGAGTTTTTCTAACTTATCACTAACTTAAGTAGAAAGTAAATCTAGTTTTAAGTATTTTGGTAATGAATATAGAAGACGTTACAAAGTTTAAAAATCTAAGGTAAGCATCCAAGATATTATGCTTTTATTTTTTTTCCTATTTAATTGACGTAGGGAAAACAAAGTGAAGACTATGAAAAGTATGATTTTCACAAACAATGTGATCTTTATCGATATGTAATTTTCACCGTATCTGAACTTCCTATGGTGTAAAAAGAATGATACATAGATGGCAGTAATGTAGATTTTTAAAAACTTTAGTGACATTCCATGATTGTACATTTTATGTATGTACAGCAGTTTACTAACATTTTGTTCTAAGACTCGTAAAAGAAACCTCAGCTCTTTACATACAGTAAGTTCTCACATATGATAGTTTCTTGGAAACTGGGACTGAAAGGGATATAACATAACCGAAATCAATTTTACCGAAGGCTAATTGATACCAACTAGTTAAGTTCCTATGGCTTTCTTGGTCCCCAAAACATCGCGTAACATCTAAATAAAGACCCCCCAAATTTATAATATTAAACATTGAAATGAATGTGAACTATACTTACATTTAAGATGAATAAAAACAAGTAAGGTAATTATTTTCCAATCCATTTATCCCAGTTTAGGGTATTGAGCTCTCCTGGCAGCTCAGAGCAGAAGGCAGGAACCAGCCCTGCACAGGAGCCATGCAGGGCCCACTCGCACACACCCACACTCACTCAGAGTGGGACTGTGGAGACTCGCAGGTCCACCTAACCATGCACAGCTTTGGGATGTGGAACTACCTGGAGAAAACCCACACATGGGGAGAACATGAAAACTCCACACAAACAATGGTCCTGGCTGTGAATTGATCCCCCACCCAACCCCCGCATCAATGTTATAACCAGACGACGTTGAACAAAAGGATGTTATTCAAGGACCTGCTGTTTTTGTAGTAATTGCTCCACTGCACTGAAAATTTTCCTCTACTATATTTAGAACTGCTGGAATTCAGAAACATATATATCATTTAGTGATTGTGACGTAGCATAACTTTTCGATTTAAGCTTTTAAATTACTGGACATTTTGTGTAATGTGTTTTTTAAAATTCAGTTTTATTATCTATAGATTATCATTGGATTTAATCTGGCAGAGCATTTGAAATTTATGCAGGCTTCAGATCAATTCATTTTGAAGGACTGACCCCAATTTTGCACAATATATAGCTTCCTGGCCCCTGCCTACTACATGCTACCTGATCATATTGATAACCAAAAATTTTCTTACAGATTTGCAAAACACGCCTCAATGAGTAGTACTGCCCTCATTTACAACCACTGGTTGGTATTGTACCACCTCCAATACCATGTTAAAAAGCAGAGGCATATGTATTGGCAATTATTACGAAGACTATTTTGTTGCTTTCTACACTGTAGAACAGCAATTTTTTTAATATATTTTATTGATTATGCTATTACAGTTGTCCCATTTTCCCCCTTCCACTCCCCTCCACCCTGCACTCCCCTCCCACCCACATTCCCCCCTTTAGTTCATGTCCATGGGTCATACATGTAAGTTCTTCGTCTTCTACATTTCCCATACTATTCTTACCCTTCCCCTGTCTATTTTCTACCTACCATCTATGCTACTTACTCTCCACACCTTTTCTCCCTCTCTCCTCCCCCCACTCCCCTGTTGCTAACCCTCCATGTGACCTCCATTTCTGTGGTTCTGTTCCTGTTCTAGTTGTTTGCTTAGTTTCTTTTGGTTTTGTTGTAGGTGTGGTTGTTAATAATTGTGAGTTTGCTGTCCTTTTACTATACATTTGTTTTATCTTCTTTTTCTTAGATAAGTCCCTTTAACATTTCATAAAATAAGGTCTTGGTGATGATGAACTCCTTTAACTTGACCTTCTCTGAGAAGCACTTTATTTCCCCTTCCATTCTAAATGAAAGCTTTGCTGGATGGATAGAGCAATCTTGGATGTAGGTCCTTGCTTTTCATGACTTGGAATACTTCTTTCCAGCCCCTTCTTGCCTGTAAGTTCTCTTGAGAAATCAGCTGACAGTCTTATGGAAACTCCTTTGTAGGTAACTGCCTCCTTATTTCTTGCTAAGGATTCTCTCCTTAATTTTAATCTTGGCTAATGTAATTATGATGTGCATTGGTGTGTTCCTTCTTGGGTCCAACTTCCTTGGGACTCTCTGAGCTTCCTGGACTTCCTGGAAGAAAGAAGCATTTCCTTTGCCAGATTGGAGAAGTTCTCCTTTATTATTTGTTCAAATAAGTTTTCAATTTCTTGCTCATCCTCTTCTCCTTCTGGTACCCCTATAATTCATATGTTGGAACGTTTCAAGATGTCCTGGAGGTTCCTAAGCCTCTCCTCATTTTTTTTGAATTCTTGTTTCTTCATTCTTTTCTGATTGGATGTTTCTTCCTTCTGGTCCACTCTATTGATTTGAGTGCCAGTTTCCTTCCCATCACTATTGGTTCCTTTGTACATTTTCCTTTATTTCACTTAGCATAGCCTTCATTTTTTCATCTAATTTGTGACCATATTCAACCAATTCTGTGAGCATCCTGATTATGTTTTTTTTTAAGGTTTTTTTTTAAGATTTTATTTATTTATTTTTAGAGAGGGAAGGGAGGGAGAAAGAGAGAGAGAGAGAAAGAGAGAGAAACATCAATGTGCGATTGCTGGGGGCCATGGCCTGCAACCCAGGCGTGTGCCCTGACTGGGAATTGAACCTGCGATGCTTTGATTCACAGCCCGCTTTCAATCCACTAAGCTACACCAGCCAGGGCTCTGATTACGTTTTTTGAACTGTGCCTCTGATAGGTTGGCTATCTCTTTACCACTTTGTTGTATTTTTTCTGGAGCTTTGATCTGTTCTTTCATTCGGGCCATTTTTTGTCTTGACACACCTGTTACGTAGTGAGGGGTGGAGCCTTAGGTGTTCACCAGGGCAGTGTAACCCACGTTGTTGGGTTATGACGCTGTATGTGGGAGAGGGGTCCAAGAGGGAACAATGATGCTTGCTCTGCTCTTTGCCAACTTTCAGTCACTTCCCCCGTCTTCCACAAGCAAACTGGGCCCTTCTGGTGCTGATTCCCATGTGGGTAGGTTTGTGTACGTTCTAGGACCCTGTGGGTCTCTCCAACGAACTTTTCTGTGAGGCTGGGAGTTCTCGCTCCCCCTTCGTTTCACCTGGTGTATCTGCATGGGAATTTGGGACCACCTGCTCCACCAGCTGCGGCCTTGCAGAGAGTCCTCTATGCTCTATTTCCCGCTGCCTGACTCTGCCTCTCCTACCAGTCTGGATGAACGTGTCTTCTTTAACTCCTTGGTTCAGACTTCCATACAGTTTGATTTTCTGTCAGTTCTGGTTGTTTTTTGTTTTTAAATTGTTGTTGTCCTTCTTTTGGTTGTGCGAGGAGGCATGGAATGTCTACCTATGCCTCCATTTTAGCCAGAAGTCACTAGAACAGCAATTTTCAACCACTGTAACCACAAGATGCACACTGGTATGCCACAAGAATTTTAAAGCATGCAAACCCTGACTTTTTACTCAGGGCCACTGACCTCTCTTCCCTTAGATTGTTAAAGAAAAAAATTACAACAGCCAACACAACAAGAGACATCCGATGTAAATGAATTATACCTATTTTTGTGTCAGATCAGCAAAAAAAATATTTTTGGTGTGCTGCAGAATTTTAGCAATTAGTTTATGTGTGCCATGAAATGAAAAAGTTTGAAAATCACCGCTATAGAGGACTAAAGGAGAAAAGTTCAATTGGAAGATGAGAGTTCAAGAAAAGGGAATAATCTCTTACAGTGTACTCTGCAAGTTTGTGGGGAAATGTGGGTCTAACTTAAAAAAGCAATTGTAAATATAGAATGCTTAATAAACATTGCAGATATTCTTAAGTACATGGTGTAATTAAAAGCACAGATTCTGAATATAGATGTCTTGAGTTCAAATTTTTAACTCCTTCACTTTCTAGCTGTTATTTAACCTCTTTCTACCTTATCATCTGTAAAATGGGGATAATAATATTGCCTATCTCATAGGGATGTTGTAAAAAGTAAATAAGGAAGTATATGTTAAATAGTTAGAATAGCACCTGGCACATTGAAATGATTCAGTAGGATAGTAGCTATATATTAGAATTTGAGGTTTGACTAAGTACAAGTCACTTTTCATGGCTAGGCAAGACCAAATAGTTTGACAGGTTTTTGCAGCTAATATATCATTAAATAAATAAACAAACAAATAAATAAGCTAGTACTCAATTATCTTTTTTCTTTTTAATTTTTATTGAATTTATTGGGGTGACATTGGTTAATAAAATTATAGGTTTCAGGTGTACAATTCTATAACACATCATCTGTATATTGTGTTGTGTATTCATCACCTAAAGTCATGTCCTTCCATCACTATCCCTTTTACCCTCTTCTAACTCCCCCTTCACCCTTTCCCTCTGGCAATCACCATACTGCTGTCTGTGTCTATGAGCTTATCAGGTTTTTTGGGTTTTGCTTAATGTCTTCACTTTTTTCACCCAATCCCCCTTCTTTTTTCTTTTATAAGGTGTGTTTTATAGGCAGAAGCAATGTTGGAAAATCCTCTCTAATAAAGGCTTTATTTTCACTGGCTCCAGAGGTTGAAGTCAGAGTCTCCAAAAAACCGGTATGTTAAAATAAAAAATCTGTATGAACTCTCTCTGAATTGACTAAGATGAATAATAAGTGCTGGGAAGTACAAGAAATCATAATTGCCAACTTCCTAGAAAAGTGATTTCTTTTAAACAAGTAGTAAAGGAATACATTTCATTAGTACCTGTGTATTTCTTTGATGAAAGGCAAAATACATTTAGATTTATTTTAGTAGTCTTGCCAGTATCTTGAGGAAATCTTCCTTGGTCTAAATTTTTTCCAAAGAGTTGTTCTGATGTTATTCTATAATTGCTTCTCCGAATGATCATCTTAGTTTTATACTGATTTCAGGGGAAACAGTTTTAAAGTATTTTTTTCCTCCTATAATCTTTTATACCTTGCTAATTGATACATATATACCAGTTTACCTGGGCCAAATTATGTGCTTATTATCCCAGCCAGTCTCCTGTAGTTGCTTTCTTTCATTTTCTAATTTTCTGTACTTCCTCCTCGATGATGCAGACTCCACCAATATCTAAGATACCTTCTTTTCAAAATTTGCCCACAGTTCCCCTCACCCTATTGCATATTCATGGCAAAACATTCCCACCAACCCAATGCTCACTGTCCCCTTTCCTTGCATTAGAATTCTTCTAGGAGGCTTCACTAGTCCTTTCTTGCTGTCCACTTCTTCATTTAGTTGATTCCCTGTCTCTGTCACTAATGATTGTTGTCATTCATTAATCCTCCTGCCCTTACCCCTGCCCTGCCTCACCAAGTAACCCAGCTAAACTCTCACTCCTAGGTAGCGTGGTTCCCTTCCTGCTTTGAGAGGATGATGCAAGGAATGTATTTTTGACATTCCTAATTCTAAAATCGTTTTCCTATAGATAGACACATAGCTGACTGGGAACCTAAGGACCATCTATAAAGTCTTTCCTCTGAAAATACTTGTTCCAAGTTCCAAACAACTGACTTTTTAAAAGTATTTATCTTAATCTTTCCTTGCCCGATTAGTGTCTATGGACACAAAATCATGAACAAACCACTTACCATCTGTACATCAATTTTGGTTGCACAGATATTTCATAATGCTGTACATACTTTTTAGAAATGGTTTTGAAAACCCATCTAATGAAACATGCAAGCCATGTTCATTTTAGGGATGCAGTAATCTAGGTATGATAAACTATCAGGCTTTGCACCTGGGTTGTATGACTATATGACTAACAGTAAGCATTTAGTTTAGCTTACCTGCTCCATAATTCATTTCTTCTTAGAAATATATTACTCATAAGAGAATATTGACTAGAATAGTCACACCATTTAGAACAGGTTAACTTTTTCACTGAGAGAGAACTAATGAAATAGGGAAGACTCCAAAATATTTTGCCTACATATTTCTAATATGGAATCTAAAGTTCTTAAGTCATATTTCTCTTAAAATTATGAATTGGAGAGAAGTAGTATCACTTAAGCCTATCTCCAGCCACTTCTGTCTTCTTTTCCTAGTCATTGTCAGCATAACTGGGATTATATACATAATACTTACACATGCTAATAAGTGTGCCTATACAGAAAATATTTTGAATTATGAAATATAAAGGACATATTTTAAGGAAGCTTTCATATTTCCATTTATCAGGGTCACACGAAGAAAATGAATTTTTTTAAAGTCGGAAGATATTTCACATTGGTGGACATGCCAGGTTATGGCTATAGAGCACCTGAAGATTTTGTTGATATGGTAGAGACCTATCTAAAAGAACGAAAGAAGTAAGGAAAAAAATTTTTATATTAGTTATACATTTAACCCAAAAGCCTATTTTTATTATTCTCATAATGTTTTACAACACAGTATTTAAAACCATGGTATTTTCTGCTTGCTTTGTTTTTCCCTGTAAGTTGGCTTTATCTTAAATTCAAGTGTTTTTCTAAATTGAGACTACAAATAGTACTTCAGCAGAGTTTAAAATTTTTTTATACCGGACTGTTAGATGGCGGCTAACTTTGGAAATGAGAACTGTTGGTTAATGTGGCATTTACCAAATTCAAATACACTTCTGTAAACTCCAATCATTCTTAAAGTACTCCTGACATCACATCCTCTGTAAATGTTATATATTTTTTTTGTCTCCCTAGGTAGTCAAATGGTAGCTGTATGTTTCAAGCTTTGCACAGATACAGAAACATTTGTTAAATTTTTGAAGTATAAAAAAGTGTTAGCAAGTATCTTTTTTATTGTGGCTTTATATAGAAACTAAGATGAAATATTTACACAAGGAAATACAAAATATAGTGTGTCTGGTTTGTGTTATCTGTTAGACTTAAAATGATATTTGTTAATTGATATTTTAATGAAAATATAGTTAATTGGGTCTATGTCTCTTTCTCCCACTAGAGTTCAAGCTCTTAGAGGAAGGGGCTCACTCACCTTTGTAACCAGTCCCAAGTACATTGTCACGTTCAACTCATGCTACTGAAATAAATGGATATTTAATGAACTTAGTTAACTATTGGACTGTAGTACGGACTTCCTGGTGAACTGAAAGTTCCTTCTTATCTAAAGAAATTTTTAAATTGTAGATTGAAAATTAGTCAAAGGAAAGTGAGGGTTGGGGAGAAATAAATGAATTTCATATTGCCTTTCATCTTTATTTCTGCATTCTTACAGTTTGGTGAGAACATTTTTGTTAGTGGATAGCGTTGTCGGAATTCAAAAAGCAGACAGTATTGCCGTAGAAATGTGTGAAGAGCTTGCGTTACCTTATGTGGTAAGTATTTCTTTTGAATTATGGTTGCAGTTAGAAATACCAGTTCTCTGTGTGTGTATCTGTCTTTTTAATGAATAAATAGGTCTTACCTCTTGAAGAGATAAAGGAACATCTTTTTAATTGTTTGGCCATTGATAAAATAAGTTCTGTGCTACTTTTCTCTAAGCTCTAAGTTTTCAAAATTATAGTCAAAGTAAAGTTTTTTAAGCTATTTATTTAGTGTTTATAGGTGCTTTTATGATTTTTTTAATGGCAATATCAACATTTGTCTAAAATGTGTTAGTAGCTCTTTAACAGCAGCTTAGCAGATAGTACTTATCAGTATGTAAATAAAACTGCAACTGAAAATTTGCTAAGCTAATTTGGAATTTTAGAACCATTATAAGAAGATAGTAGGCTCTAGCACATACAAGTAGGATTCTTATACTGTATTCTTAAAGAAAACAAAATTTCTTCTGGATATATTTTACTAGTGTTCTTTCTGTTATTTGCTCTAGAGTAGAATATAGATTAGTAGGTTGGTATCCACATTTATTTTGCCTTTTGAGTTTTCCAAATAAAATAGCACTCTTAAGGAAAAGTGGAGAACTCATTGACTATAATTTTGTTTTTAAAAAATGTCAGAAAACCGCTAAAATGTAGCAGTGGAGTGTAATGAAAATCAAACCATGTTACTAGTCAGCACCTTTTTTATGTTCTTAGAGTTATGGAGTTCTTAAGGTTTGCAAAGCCCTGTGAGGCATTAGTGATAACCTATAGTTATCAGGAGCCAAAGGGTTGATAAACATAGTCTACGTAGTACACATGCGATGAGTCAGGAAGTTTCATTTTATAGAAATTCCCAGGAAAATCTGATAGATCAAGGTTTTACTTTTTAATGGATTTTGTAATCAAGCCACACCTTGACCCTCCTCTGGAATGTCATTGTCTTTGAATAGGTAAATTTTAATCAGAGTAATTATTTACTAGTAAACCTAGAAAATTTGAGGCTTAACTTGGAGTATAACTGTGTATAACTTGGAATCATGGATACAACCTACAAACAGCCTGATTTCTAATTTTTCCTTTAGATTATTACATGTAAGATGGAACCATTTTGTTGATCAAAAATAATTATAAGTTGGCAATTTTATATGAATCAACGTAATCATGCTCATTTACATATTGAATATCTTCAACCACAAGACATATAGTGATCATATGAAACATTTGGTTTATGGTGGTTACAAATATGGCTCCAGGGTCCTTTTCACTGGTTTTGAATTCAAGATACTATAGTCCTGTGCAGTTCAAGCACCATTAAACAGCAAACACATAGTGCATGCTTTATACATTGTACACACAGGACTATACAATAACCTATTTAATCTTCACAGTAACTCATTTAGCACACATTGCTTTTATTTTATAGATGGGGAAACAAGTACAAAGAGATTAAGAAACTTAAAAGGTCCCCTAGTTATTGAGAATTTGTAGCTAAAATGTGTAAAACTATATATTAAAAATACTTTATTTCTAATGCTTAAATATTTGTTTTCTTGCAGATGGTATTAACAAAAATTGACAAATCTTCCACAGGACATCTTCTAAAACAAGTGCTTCAGATCCAGAAATTTGTTAACACTAAAACACAAGGATGTTTTCCTCAGTTGTTTCCTGTAAGGTAAGAGTTGAATTGTTTTCATAGCTTCGTGTACTGACCACCTTTATTATTATATCAGTATTTCTTATCACTTCTTGGCCTTTTGGCTAAGATCAAGTGCAAATCAGTATTCGTTAAATTGAGGTATCACTTAAATGAGGGAAATTTGGAAGACTATGTATGCACTTAGTTATGGTTTATTGGTACAACCCATCAGTACTTTTATTTTTCTCTTCCCTCTACTCTTGTTTCCTTCTGCAGATTTTGCTGTACCTTCGTTCTCTTTCCTCCTTAGCCTAGCTCAGCCCTACACCACAGCAGAAGTGAAAACTTTGTACTTTTTAGAATCAGCTAAATAACAACCACAATAAAGGTACTACCATCCCTTTCTCAGCTTCACAGAAAAACAATTTATCTTTATGGTAGAAAACTCATTCAGGCTGTGAGGGATAAAAATGTTCCTTTAAAAGGACCACATGTAAAGAAGAAGTACTTCATATAAATTAGAATTAAGCATTGGTAGCAGATGGAATGGTTATATCCTGAGCTGGCAGTTTTTCAGATATTAGATGTGGTTTAGCAATGAAGCATGAGTTTTTACTTTCAGTATATACCTTGGACACAGTAAGTACCTGTATTGTTGCAGAGACAGAGTGTACTCCCCTATGATTTTCTTATTCTAACTTCTTTGGGAAAAGCACTATGGGCGTTGCTATGAAAAATAATGAAACCAAGTAACAGATACGAAACTGTTCATTCTACATCCTACCAATGCAAATCACATTTAAATTGTTTGTAATTATGAACATGCCTGTCAAAATCCCTCTTCATCATTCCTACAAAATGCTCTTCTCCTTTTACTACTTTTCAAGATACAGAGTATGTATCCTGTTCATTTGTCTGTGTCCCATATATACAAGAAACTCCTGGGGGCAGGAACTAAATCCTTATTCTTCTTAGAGCCCTGAGCATTGTCATAGAAAAACAGATATTTCTTTTAACTATTTAATAATAAAGAAGTGATACTTCAACTAAAAGGCAATCAAACATAAGATGTGCAAATTATGCCTTAATAGCAGCATTTATTTAAAAAAAGTAAGTTTTAGTTGATTGGAAGCTTAGTTTGAATTAACAGTATAATAAGGCTAGGGGAGAACCGACAGTGTTTTCTTGAGCTACAAGTAATGGAATTAGTGTTTAAAACAAGGGAATAATCAAGCAGTAGTCATACACTGCTGAGCTGTATGTCACCAGACTAATCAAGTTAAGGTCCTGGCTCCACATTAAGAACAACTAGAGCTATCTGATGGTCTTAGGGGAGGTTATGTCACTGGATCATTCAAAGCACTTAACTGATTCTCACAGTAACATCCCTATTTCATGGTTACAAGTCAGAGACGTAAAGTGAGTTCAGAGAGGTATTGGCTGTGATAGAAAGAGCATGAGCCGTTGAGTCAGGCCATGGTTTTGTGTAGTTCTTCTACTTATAGTTTTTAAAGCAACTTACTTCATTTTCTGAGTCTTTTCTCACTAGTAAAAATGATTGTTAGAAGGATTAAATAAAATGTATTGTGACTGATGTACTCATAATATAATAAATGTTAGTTTCCTTCCTTGACAAAGGTCAGTCAGTAAATGGCAGGGTCAGGCCAACAATTCAGAATATCAGGTTCCTAGTATATCTTAGAGGCATTCCCTTCTTTAAATATGCCAGCATTCTCTGCTGCATAACCCTGGGAAGACTGCTGCTATGGACTACTCACCTTAAGTGACCATGGCAGTGTAGAAGCCACACAGCACTTAAAGGCTAAGAACTGAGACACAGGGGCCTGCTGACTTTCAAGAACACCAGTGTTCTCTCTACCACCGTGACCACATACAGGAAATCAGCAGGCTGTACTCTGTAGTTTTCAAAATCCAATTCAGAAAGTAGAGTTACATTAATCCTTGCTTTTACTAGCATCATTAAACCCCAGTCCATCCCTCCAGATGGAGTGTGGCCTATTCACAGAATTATTATAAAGTAAGTTAGCTTTTATTTCCTTCTCTTCCTGTATGATCTTGATAGGACAAAGGTAGAAATGTGAGTAGATATGTAGTCCAGAGAAGTTTGGCCTCTCAGCCTATAGGCAAAAGTTAAGTGCTAACCTTCATGTCTGAACTCTACCCAAGCTGGGTGGAGAAGTATAAATGGTGAAAGGCTTCTAAAGATTGATGCTGGGATCAGTCTGTTGTTATAAACTGTATAGGGTAAGTATGTAAGTAGGCACAGTATAATTGCTTCTGTGGTTTTCTATGTAGTGAAAATTTCCAAGCAAATAAGAACTGATCATGACGACAAAGAAAATTATGAGTTGACAGAAATATTGCAGATGAGTTCAAGGTGTCACAGTTTGTGTGTAGACTATCTAATCTGTAGCTCTCCTTTAAACTCTATATGTATAACTTCATTTATAGTCCAAGAATCATTATGGGCTATTCTCGAGCAAACAGGTTTGGTCAAAAAGTCCAAAATGCTGTACCTTATATCAAGGGAGTCAGCAATGCTATAGTTAATAATACTGTATTGCATATTTGAAAATTACTAAGAGAATAGATCTTGAAAATCCTCATCACAAGAAAAAAATGTGACTATGTACAGTGATGGATGTTAACTAGACTTTTGTAATCATTTTGCAATATATACACTCACTCATTGTGTTGTATACCTGAAACTGGTATGTTATATGTCAATTATTCCTCCATAAGAAAGTTAAAAACAACTTTTCAACTGGCAAAAAAAAAGTGGTAGATGTGGTGAGATTTTTAGAATCATGAAGGAAATAGAGCCGATAGCGCAGACCACTAGATTTAGAATACCACAAGTGGCCGAGAGAAGAAAGGAAAGGCAGGACAAATTAAGATGTTGTTTCATACATGGAACCCACAGCTCATAAACAATTTTTTTATTTTTTAATATATAATCTTTATTATATTTTTGTATTACCATTAGGTCCCTTTAAATCCCCTTCTCCCTGCAGTCACCACACTGTTGTCCATCCATGTCCATGAGTCTTTTTTTTTTTTTTTTGCTCAATCCCTCTACCACCTTTCCTCCCCCATGTACACAATTGTTTTTAATTAGGTGAATTCAGATGTTACTGCCTCTGAAGTACAGAAGAAAATTATTTTTCTTTTCTTTTCACAGTGCTGTGACCTATTCTGGAATCCATCTGTTGAGATGCTTTATAGCAAATATAACAGGACATCTTAAGACTTAATGGTGTCTAGTTGAGCTGAAGACTCAAAATTTTTTATGCCAACTGGAGCTAAACACCTAGAATTTCAGCATTGTTTTAAATGTTGCATGTCTATAATCTGCAGGGGATCAGTTCACCTCTTACCAAAGCAGGAATGAATTCTGTGCCTGGCAGGGGGGTGGTTTATAAATGATTGAATTATGCCTTCATTAGAACAGGTGCTAGCAGTTTTTCTTATTTTAACAAACTGACAAGAGCGGCATATAAAAGTCCATAAGGTGAAAACCTGTTTACTACTGTGTAGAGAAGGGTTTCCATGTTACTTATTGGGCTCTGTTTTTTAAAGAAAATGTCTATTATGCATATTTTTAAATATTAAAATGGAATAGGTCAAAAAGGGGTTAGCTTTCTGTTAAGGACTGATAGGTAAATCGAAGATAAATGCTCCTATTTGTATGCCTATAATTTATCTATTTTCTGAATCCTTATTTGAATTTTTAAATTATTATTGATAAAATTTTAGTCAGTGCATGCTGGAAATACCAGTAAATTCAGTCTGGGGTCAGTTACCTTCAGCTTCACAAGGGATTCAGAATCAGAAGACCAGAATTTAAGTTCCAGTTCTATTATTTTTTTTATATGCTGGACCTTGATTTCTTGAGCTCCATTTGTAACTCTAACCTCACAAGCTATGAAGATGAAAGCAGTGTATGCGAAAAGGACATTTTCATATTCTGCATATTCATAAAGGGAAACCAATCCAAGAATACAGCTAAATGCACAGGTAGATTTATCACAGAAAATATCTTATCATGGAGGAAGCAACATTTTCTCTAGTGAAAAACAAAAAAACAAAAATAATAGTTCTGAGAAAACTGGTTTGCAAAGCATGAGAATAAAGTTGATGGGACTATTTAGAATCAGTACATTAAGATTCACAATGGGAAGATAAAGCCTTAACTTTGAACTAAAGTTAATGGAAAAGATTTTTATGAAGATGCTACTGCCTTTTCATATAAGTGGCTTAGTTTTTCAAAGTGAAGCTGAATATTATAACGTTGTAGCAACAGCTCTGAATTAAAGAAATTAAGACTGTAAAAATTTTGTGGCTTTTTTAGAAAATTCAATTTGAATATATTTTCAGTTTTCTAATTGATAGCACTGGTCTTTTCTAACCATCAGCATTTTAAGCTTAAAAAACACACACACACACACAAAAAACACTTTATTTGATCATTTGCAAAGTAAAATATATGGTGACAACAGAATTACCTTTCTTAGAAGTCATCTTTCTGTTTGCCTGTGTTACTTTACCGCTTATCCTAGCCTTGGTTCTCCTAAAAGCATAGCTTGAGACTGGCATGCAATAGTTTATTTAGGATGTGATCCCAAGGAACAAGGATGATGGGGAAATGAAACAGAAGGAAGGAAAGCTCATCAAGGATGCACTGAGTTGGATACCACATAAGCACTAGTACTTGATTTTGAGGGACCTTCTGAGCAGCTTATGAAATGTGCTTCTGAATTGTCTTTGAAGGAGGAAAGGGTGACCCCACACCTCTTCCAAGTCAATGCGCCCAGGTGCCAAGAAGTTTCTGCAGCTTGGTCAAAAGCCAGGCAGCAGCCCTGGCTGGCATAGCTCAGTGGATTGAGCACGGGCTGGGAACCAAAGTGTCCCAGGTTCGATTCCTAGCTAGGGTCCATTCCTGGGTTGCAGGCCATAACCCCCAGCAACCGCACATTGATGTTTCTCGCGTGCTCGCTCTCGCTCTCTCTCGCGCTCTCTCTCTCTCTCTCTCTCTCTCTCTCTCTCTCTCTCTCTCTCTCTCTCTCTCCCCACCTCCCTTCCCTCCCTAAAAGTAAATAAATAAAATCTTTAAAAAAAGTGTCAAGATAATAATGGTAAAAGACAAGGTTGCATATGAAAATATTTATTAAAAAAAAAAAAAGCCAGGCAGCAGGAAGTGAGAGGTCCCTGGACCAGGAGGCAAGGTACAGTTGCCTGTCCTATTCCAAATAGGTTGCCATGGCAACAGCTGAAGTAGGATGGTCAGGGATTTCAGGACACATGGGAAGTCTCATCACCCTTCTCTTATGAATGACTTGAGTGTTCTAATGCCAGCAGATGTGATTAAATTGATATTCACTATGATGACACTAACTTCTGATCTAACTTACTAGGTAAGTTATGGTTTTATTTTATCCTTCACTTTAAAAAATTTAAAACATTTGAATTTAAATTGTTTGGAAGAGTAACTGATACAGAATACTACATTCCTTACACATACATATAAATTATCATTTTGTAGACATATCATATGAAGCTTTTTACTGTTTTTCCGAGAATTGTAAGGAGCACAAGATGAGAAAAGGAGATGAAAAAGCTTACTCCAAGGGAACATTAATGAGGCAGAAAAAAAAGCTAGCCTTTAGTTCAGTTAGGGCTTTATAGTTTTACGTCCTTAGACAACTCACTAAACCACTCTGGTTTTTCCAATGAGGGATCATTTCCCACTATAAAAGTTTGATTTTTGGCCACTTCAGGTGAAGGAACCTAGGCCCAGGGAAACACTAGAGCAGTGGAGTCATGGCTATTTCTAGATGTGTCATGAATAAGATTTCCTTGGTATTGCCTATGTTTGAAGGCAATACCAAGTAGCTACTGCCACTTGGTAGGAAGCTAGGAGAAATACAAACAATGAAAAGCCATTCAATATTAAGGACTCAAATCAGGGTGTTCCATCTTGGGGAAAGGGAGCTAAACCAGTGTTTATCCAACTACATTTCAGGCTACTTCTTGTATATCAAAATCTCCTGGGCACTTTATACCCAATTAAAATTGCAGACTTCTGGCTCTATTCCCTGGCTGTGTTTATGTCTTCAGAAGGGACTGGGAGTCTGCACTTCTAAACAGCCCACATGGTGATTCTCAGCCTAAAGTATGAGAACAACTGGTATAGATAAAGGGAAAATATGCAGAAAACAGGGAAAGAACAAGGCCAGGTAAAGGAGTGAAAGAAAATAGAAGAAAATGATAGGGTGGCTGAGGAAAAGAAGGATGCAGTACATATCAATGCATTATTTTTTTTATGTCTGTATGTAAATAAAACTTCAGGCTACGACCTACTTAACAGAGAAGCTTATTAACCTTTCTAGTAAGCTAGAACATTTGAAAAATTACTTCAAACTTCACATCATTTGAAAATCTGTTAAGATTCACCCTCTCAGAACACTTGAACAAGCAACATACAAATGTCAGGTGACAACACCAGTCCCAAATTATAAATTTATGTTTAGCCTCATTCCCTGGTCTATTTTGTGTTTCCTAGTTTTTATTTTTTTTTTCATTTAACTTTCTTACCTACTTCTACTTTGTTATCCTATTGTATTTCATGTGTAACCATGAGTCACCTCATATCCTTTTTGGAACCAGTCACTCATACCCTATAAATAAATAAACCAAAAAAATCCCACAAACTTTTGGAAATTTCCAAAAGCGTATTAATACGCTCTTATGTGAATTAAGGTGAATAGTGATAATGGTTGTGACCAGTCCCTGGTAATATATTAGTGGCAAAACTTTTGAGTTCCTTTGATGATCAATTCTAATACATCAACAAGACAGCACCACCCTTAGAAGCTACAGACCTTGTTGTCCAGAAGTGGACTTGCCTATAACCCAGCCAGTAAGGTCTGAGTGGCCTTTTAGGTGCTTCCTTGCTACTCCCCACTTCCACTCCCCATTTATCTTAAGGCACAGGGTAGGTTTTTACAAACCTAATTATTCAGGTCTTAATTTCCTGGTAAGGCATAAAATTATTCAGTTTTTCTGGGACCTGCCAGCTTCATGAAGGAATTGCATCTGCTTTTCAAGGGCAGGATATGGTAGATTTTTCATCTTAACACAGCATTTAGTCAAAGTCAGATTTGACTGTTTAGTAGTAAATGATTAAATGACACAAAACTACAAATGTTTATTGAACTGAAATGATCAGCTATGTAACGCTGCACTAAATCATTTCTTCTCTGAGTCCACGTGGTACTTTCAGATCTTTGCAGATCTCAGGAGTTTCACTTAAAATAGCAGAACACTGAACTAGTTTGCTCATCACTTAAAGGCCTCACTTATGAGCATCTAAACTCCCATTAAAGCAAAAATATCATCAATATCATCTGTCTCCTTCATGATTCCTGATGTATTTTTATTTACTTGCATCATTGTCCATGAGTCAGTCTCATTTTCATTCCTCCTTATTAGATTTTCGTGATTTTGTTTCTCCTTAGTTTGTAGGACAGGGTTGGAAACTCGGCTACTCAAGGTTTGCTTACTGTTAGGGTACAGATCAGTCCTATGACCTATACAATGTGAGAGTCTCTGTTTGCTGGTTACTGTAAAAGTCTGAGTCTGTTGGGCGGACTGCTGAATTTCCTTTAGAAGAGTTGACTGCAGCTTTCTCTGTGGTTTTCTCTGTCTCGGTAAAAATTTATTCTGTGATCTTCTTAGTCTCAGATGATGCTTTGAAGTTTTGCTACCTGAGCCACGAAGAAGGCATTTGCAAATAGATGTTTTTATGCACTCTAGTTTCTTGGGCAAACTTTAAAGGACAGAGAGAAAGGAAAAATCTGAGATTATTAAAATGAAGAAAAAACACTCTAAAAAACTTTTATCTTCTTTTTACCAACTTCCAACAGAAAATACACAATTTCTGTAAGTCCCATGCCTATGTACAACCCCAGAATCATGGTGAAAGATAAGGAAATAGGAGCTTCAACCCCAGCCTATTTTCACAGCACAGCTTCCCTCATTCAAGATGCAGGCAAATGTGCCCCCCTTACCCTCAAAGTAAAGTAGCTCCTACAACTGCCAAGCAAGGTAGTGCCAGAGCTTTTTCCTGACAATTGCTAATCTGTTCATAATGTAATTAATAGGAGTGGAACTGGAGAAAGGATGTACCTCAGATAGAAAAAGAAAATCTGTGAGAGTGTATTAGTCCATTTCTAGATACAGAACTTTGTGTTGTAGCAGGAAATAAACAAGGAAAAAGAAGTGAAGAGGGAGTTTATATAAGAATGAGAAGACAAACTGACACAAACAAACTGACAGCCTTGAGCTACACACTTTGATTCATTTATCGTCTTCAAGTTTGGGAATTCAGAACTCAAATAGCTGATTACTTTAGGTGTTTCACTTCTGAATAGGGTGCACTGCCACAAAGTACACTGGTACCTTTCAAACTGCCTCACTGTTTGTGCTAGATTTCAAAAAGATTAGCATGGGTCTTTACTTCCTACCCCAACACCCTCCCTCTTCCTTTCTAAACAAATACAGAACTTTGTGGAAGCCCATTATAATGCTAGAAATTCATGATCTGTTTCCAAATTCTTTCCTTGGCTTAATGTAAGTGGTTGTTTTTATGCGGGAAGAGGGTAGGTATATTTCCCAATTGAAATGAAAACAGAGGAATCAGAGGATCTGAACTGACTTCTAAGTCTCCAGCACTCTTAGCACAATCTTTCATTTCCTCATCTATGAAATGGTAATAATACTGCCTACCCCATAGTTACTGTGGACACTAAGTAGATTTAAAATGTACAAATACATTACTGAAACAGCGGAACAGGACAATATGAAAGACCATTATATTTTTGTGAGGAACAAAATAATGGTTTAACCAAATAAACACCCGTTGGTTACCCTCATTAACTTTTAATGCTTATCATCTCTGCCTCATTTACCCCTGACTTTAAACCCAGTTTTGAACAGAACAATTCTCTCCATCTCAGGCAGAGTTTCCACTCTGAGAAATCAGTCATCCCTTTGAGATGACTACAGGCCTTTTCAGGATTCCAGTGTAAATACCTGTCCAGCAACCCTGGCAGGTGTGGTTCTGTTGGTTGAGCATCATCACAAACCAAAAGGTCAGGGGCTCGATTCCCAGTCAGGGAACATGCCTGGGTTGCCAATTCAGTCAGTCCTTGGTCAGAGTGCATGTATTTTTTGAAGGATACATTAAAAACTGTTCAGAATGACTACCTCTGTGAAAGTGGAATAGGATCTTTATAGCCATTTGTGGCTGATATTGTTATCATGGGCATCTATAATTTTCTCAATAAAAATAAAACCCGAAAGTGTCTAACTTTGTGTGTTATTTCAAGTGTACTGGCTCACAATCAAATATGAGCATCCTGTTAATGAATGGAAGAACTCACAGGAAGGGGAGAAATCAACACATGGAGAGTCCAGCTCCTGTGAACAAAAGTTACCTGATCCTGACCTCAGAGTCTGGTGTGCACCCTTGTAGAAGGCAGGCACCTTCTGCTTCTCTCTCACACACTCATCCTGCTGCACTGAAGTTGTGGGCAGACTGGCCATCCTTCCTCCTAAAGCTAAAACGCTCTGAGAGTTCTGTTTTACACACAGTTGTATCCTCAGACCCTTCTAATGCTTCTGAGTGAATGGACAGAATGGTGAAGAGTATAAATGAATAAATCCAGTTAACCAAGTCTTCCTCCTAGTGATGTAACTCTGCCCAACGAAAGCTGCAGACAAAATTGCAGTTTGTGTAGATCCCCCTTTTAGCCGCCCTCGGGCTATTGGACATCCCACTGTAAAGAAAGCTGACTTGACTTGAATATATATTCTCTTCTAAAGGACAACAAAAAAAAGAAATATAAGTTTTGTAATATACCTACCTATAACCTTGGGCTTCCACATGTTTTAGGCGGTTACTTTTAAGAAGTTTGTTGCCCAGAAAGGAAGCCTGAGCCTTGAGTTTTTTGCTCCTGCACCACAGAATCGCCATTTGGATTTCTTCAGAAAGTTGTATGAAAGTCTCAGCCTCTTGGAGTCTTTGCACAAAACCTTCCGCACAAGGAGTTCCTATCACTCTCTGAGAAGAATGTTTGGTTGCTTTTAGGTGGGGCTGAGGACATTCACGCTCAAAGCTGGCCTCCTGAAATATGGAAAGGTAAGAAAAACATATCATGTGTTTCTTATAATAAATATATGACAGGAGAAAAAAATTGACTTACAGCTTACCAAAATTTGAAAATTTATCTTTAAAGAAAAACTTTAGTTCACTGTACTTTCCTTTTTGTCTTAAAAAACTTAACTTGTTATCCACTGCTCCTAACACAAGATGATTTCCCCCATGCTGTGCTGCAGTAGAAACCATCCATAGCCGAATTCAGTCATACACAGGAAACAACATAAATAATCCTAACACATATTTCTTTTACCCACACATAAGAAAAAAACTCCACATGATTAAAAATTTTAAATATTGGTCAAAGCCTAGCTGGTGGGGGAAAAAACACTGAAGAGTCTTTTCCTCTGCACTACTGGACAACCCCGACTTGTTCTCATTTCTGAACCTTCAGTCACCCTCCTGAATGATGGGTTACAAATGCTACTGAAACACATGAAGACAGGATGATTGCTCAACATATCTTAAAAATGCTTAACAGGGCCCCATTTCCATTTCTAATTGAACCATCTTTTCATGGGGCACCTATGTCTCTTCAATCCATCTCTGTATCAAGTCGTTTGAATTTTATCAACTTTTACTATTTATGAAAGTATGCCACCTACCAGGTGGGCTTCTATCCTTCAATCAAAGCTTACCTTTTTCCAAATTTCTTACCCTCAAGAACATGAAAAAGTAGTAAAAATATTAGAGACCTATCAGTGCTTTGTGTTGTTGACTGGTAAAGAAGTCTTACCTAAAAGCAAACTGCATATTAATGCTAATTGCTAAAAATGTGGCAGTAATAGTCATGAATAAGAAGGATGCTGACCAACCAGCTTCAAAACCTAGGAATAGGTGGATGGACTACGGAAGTTTCAAGGGTCACAGAGAGCCATAGTTCTTAAAGCAGCTGACAAAACTATTTTTGGGGGCTGATGCAAAGGGTAATGAACAAAGACTATGAACCAAGCTACCCGCATTCAAATCCCAGCTCTGCCCCGTATTTGCTGTGTAACCTGAGCAAGTTTCTTGTCCTTTCTATGCCTCTATTCTCTCACCTGGAATATGGAAACAATAATAGTACCTATCTCACAGAGCTTTTGTGAGGATTATATGAGTTAAAATGTTTGGAACAATGCCTGGCGAAGAGTAAATACAATGTAAGTACATATAAGCTACTTTATTATTATTGTTATTATTATTCCTCCTTCTGGAACTCACGAATTGAACATAATGTAAATGGAAGCTAGAAGCCTTATAAATGTCCAAGAAAGTACACTGACTTATGAGGAATGATTAAGATTATTAAATAGAGTGGAAGAAATAACCCATAAAGCAAACCAGAAAAAAACAATTTTGAAAAGACAGAGGGTAATATAAGTCAAGCAGTTACCAGATAAAGGAGAGCAACACTGACACACTTATCTGTTGTGAGGTCCAGAACAAACAGAAATTACAGACACTGACTAAGAAGGGGACTCAGGTTAAAACTTGAACCCTAATAGGAAGAAGGAAATAGAAGCCTCATGACAAAGGATGAAGATAATGATAATGACACTGAAAGTAGATAATAATATCTAACACCACTTACGTGCCACTGTACTTCTGACTCTGTGCTGAACACATTACATGCATTAAAACTGGCAAAACCCTACGAGGTACACACTATTGGAAAACAGAAGTATGGACAGATCAAGAAACTTACACGAGGTCACAAAGCGAGTACAGACCAAAGCCAGGACTCAAAGCATTTCTGACTGCAAGGCCCATACTCTTAAGCTACAGTACAATCTATACCTATGATGGATCCTAGAGTCACTTCAAAACTGTAGCAAAACTCTTAATAAAATATTTCTGAAGGATTCTATTAACTGAGTAACTGGATGCACTAAAATCCCTTGCAGTGCTTCCATTCAGAAACACAGACTAAGAACGACAATAATACTGAGCTTACTCAGGGCTACAGATAAAAACAAAAGTAAGATTCAGTCTCTATCCTTGGTAAGTGGCATCTTCTCTACAAATTTGCAGAAATCAAAAGCTATATTAAAATAAGCTAAACCTGGTAAGAACAGATACTACACTTGATCTTAGCCAAAAGGAGGGGAAAGTGGGGAAGGGATTTCAGGAACTATAAAGGACACATGGATATAACCAAGGGTGGGTAGAATCAGAGGAGGGAGATAAGGATGGCTGGGGAGGGGGGATTTTGGGGGGTGGAAATACAGACAACTGTACTTGAACAACAATAAATTTTAAAAAAGAGAAAATAAGCCAAACCTGAATAGCTTTGTGTTTCAGTTGTTTGCAGAAAGCCCTCACATCAAATCCAGATGACTTTTCTGTGGAGATAGAAAGATCAAATACAAAAACTTAGGCACACTATTTTCAGACTAACAAATTATTAAGTGCATGATGATATTTCTTGCCAAATTACTATAAAGGAAATAAAGAAAGCAAGCAAAGAACCATGGAACAACGGCAGAAACAAACAACTTTAAATGTTCAAACTTAGAAAACACACACAGGTATTACCATATCTCTCTGAAGATAATCAATGGAGAATCAATGTGAGTTAAAAGGTACAGGATTTCTTTCTACACAATCCATGATTATACTGTAATTTCAAGTTTTATTTTTTCTTAGTATGTGCTGTATCAAAGCATATTACCTTTGAGGATTTTCTTATTGTTTACTGGCTCTCCAAGATCCACATTATTCTGTAGATTGATCTTCATTTGTTTAGTTTTTTTTGAAATTCTAAGTAAAGTTTCTTCACTACACCTCAGGGATTGCTCTTTTGTTAAGAATAGTTTATTTAGCAATTTAGTTACTCCTTTAGCTGCAAAAGCTGCAGGCATATTTTTCTTAAAGACCTCAAAATAGGGCTGTCCTAAAAATCCAACAATATCAGAAGGAAAGATAAAATCTTTGAAGTAAGGCAATGGTTGAATCCTAGAGACCTCTTGAAGCAATCCAAACAATGGCTCATATAAAGAGATCAGCCTTTTTAAAACACCTTTATAGAGAACCCTAGGGAAAGAAACAGGAGCTCATGAATTAACCAGTAAGTACAATATACAGATTATATAATAAGCACAACAATTCAAAACTGAAAATAAATGCTTTTCAATCTGCCACTACAGATTTAAAAAACTACAGCACATATTTGCAAATAGCAAGATAAATCTAGAATTCACAGAAAAACCCAGTGCAAAAGAAAGTGTTACTTAAAACTAAAACACTAGTTTAGTTTAGTTTTAGTTTAAAACGCTAGTTTAGACAGAAAGCAGTCTCAGAGGATGTGTATCAAAACCCTAAGTTTGGTTTTATCTAGATGGTGAGATTTTAGGTAGTTTTCAGGCTATTCACATTTTTTTCTGGTTTTTAAAACTTGTTAAAATAAGCATGTATCACTGTAATCAGCAAAACTTTATGTTTGTTATTGAAAAGAAAAATGAATGTTTGACATTGAAAATGATGTTTAGTAATTTTAACATTGTTATCTCTAAGAATAAGCAGAATAAAAAACAGTACTGGAAATTGTACTTAAGATATACAGGTAAAGACATCAAAGCAAAGGTTTTAATCTGGACAATTCTGTTTGTTTTTAGTTTTAATTCAAACTAGAGATAAGCATCCCAACTGCCTAAAATGGCCAAAACTGGTATCTTTACAAATATGGGCAGATTCCGAGTCCAGTTGTACATACTGAGCATGCAAGTGAAGGTCTCTGGTTTGCAGCCAGTGCCACTGTTCTTTACACCCACTAACTACACCTCAAGAAGCAGTGGCGTCTTTCTAGACCCCATGCATTCCAGTCCTGAAGCAAAAGAGGGCTCTGTACACTCACAGTTCTTGTTCGCAAGACACAGAAATGGCTCTAATTCATTAAGCAGTAAAGATGTTTAGTAAAAAGGGGGAAAAAAAGCAGTGGTATTTCAGGTGGGGAAAAAAATTCTGGAGCACATAAGGAAGGTCATGACCATTAAGAAGTAGAAACCTAGAGGCAAAAAGAAGTAATACAGCCTGTCCAGGAATACTTTCATTTTAAATGGGCCAGTCACTATATGATTATGGCAACCACTTTTTAATTATTTGAGTTGCTAGTCCTAGGAATTCATATGCTTAGATGTTTAGCGTTGAAGAGTCTCTTGGTTTCAGATTTAAAGCCTAACCTGTTGACATAACCTTCAACATTTAGCTTCCAAATCCACTCCACATAAACTCTGATGAAATGACAGAGTTCCCGCAACTTCAGCATCCCATGGGAAAACAAATTTTAAAACCAATGAGAAACACAGGATGAGTTAAAGAAATAAAAAAGAAATTAAGGATTTCAAAGGTGTGTGTGTACGTACCATAATCTGCTCACCAACCCAACCATTACAAGGTTTAAAATAATGAATTCTTGCAAACCTAGGTGTTTCACAGTCAAGCTGGAAAATTAAGTTAAGTTGGAAAATAAAACCAAAGTAATTTAGATTTTGTAAGTTACACTTATGAAACAACTAGACTGGTAATAGAAAGAATGTTATTGAAGAATTACCATGTTTTTCAGACTATAAGATGCACCCCCCCCCCACGACCAATTTGGGAAGAAGATGAGGGTGCATCTTATACTCTGAGTGTAATTTATCTGGCTAGCTGTTTGGGGAGCGGGGACGGCAGTGGAGCCGGGTCACAGGTTATTAAATATTTTACCACATTTTTTGCTTCAAATTTTTTTTTTTCTATTTTCCTCCTCTAATACCGAAGTGTGTCTTATGGTCTGGTGCATCTTATAGTCCTAAAAATACAGTAATACCTTAAAACATATTCTATTTAACTCATGGAAATTTAAAAATAAAGTAATATACACTCTGCTAGAGCTCTCATTATTAAAAGTAGTTTCTAAGGTTTAGTTTCTTTTTTGTGGTTTTTTATTTTCACTTTTTTTCTTCTTTTTTTTTTTTTTGCTTTTTTTGTTTGTTGCTAAGGTTTGGTTTTTAAGATTAAGAATTTCTAATTGTCAGTGCCCTTAGGATAATATATACTAGAGAAAGTAATCTCTGGCAATGATTGCATCAGGTAATTCCTTGGAAAGAAGCAGAATCTTGGGCAGCGGGGTGTAAGGGGACTAAAAGGTAATATAAAAAACACAATAAAGATTGAATAAAATACAAAAAGAAAAAACAAGAAAAAATTTAAGAATCCCCACAGGGCCCTGGCCAGGTGGCTGAGTTGGTTGGGTGTAGTCTCGTACACCAAGGTGGCAGGTTTGATTCCTGGTCAGGACACATGCCTAGGTTGCGGGCGCATACAGGAGGCAACCAAGTGATGTGAGACATCAGTGTCTCTCTCCCTCTCTCCCCCTCCCTTTCCTCTCTCTAAAATCAATAAAACTTACCCTCAGGAAAGAGTTAAAAAAATTATTATTATATTAACAATATAATAATAATAATAATAACAATAACAATATATGTTTGTTATTATTATTATTATTCCCATTGGTTATAACTCCTATAGACCCCAACCCAAGCTTTCAAACAGAAATACTAAAGTTATCCACACAATTCCCATTGAGAAGATGGTACAGCATTTCAGTTGACTCAAGGATACAGAAATGTCTTGCAGCAACAGTCCAACAAACGAAGTAATAATTTACAGGCTCCCAAAATCTTCACCAGCACTAATTCTACCACTGGTTGGCTGGGGATGATACACACTTTGGTAGTTAAAGGCTGATTTTCACTTGAAAAAAAAATGAAAAGTACATTACTTTCATTATTAAATGTAGAGCACTTATATAGCAGTGTTCAAATGCAGAGCTGCTTTAAGCACAATTTGAGTTAGTCCCACTCAATAATGACTCACTAAAGTGTATAGACACTAATGTTTCAATATAATCTTATCATGTCCCAGATTTCAAGTCATGCCAGTCCCTCCCACAAGCCAACAAAGGGAGATTACCATAAATACCAGGTGCCCCTTATTAAAACAAAATTTGTAGAGCTAAAGTACAACTGGTTACATTTCAACACCAAGCAGGAAAAAAACCCAAAGGGAGATCACAGAGTCCCCACCACTAAGCTCATCACAGAGTAACAACCACTTACCTGGAAGAAAACAACTCAGACAGATCTTGAATTGAACCCTCCAAGTTCATGTTTTTCAAACGTTTTAAACATTGTTCAACCTGAAAGGGGAAGAGCAGGTCACACTCCTGTGTATACAGCACAGGCAAGGCCCCTGGTGGGACCAGCAAAGCTGGAAGTTCCATGACAGCAATATATCTTGTCTACTTCGCCTACCACTGTAATTCAGTACTGAGTACTGGGAAGGCATTTAATAGCACTTTTTTATCCAAAAGAAAAAAATAGTGAGGACCACTCATTAAACAAAACGTGGTAAGAATTCCGTAGTCCTCACACAATACCACACCAAGGGCATCGTGCATGGGGCGGCATCCAGACTGAAGGATGTCAGAATCTGGATGGTCACTGATACTGGTAGAGGTGGTATCTTATCAGAGCTGCATATGTGCTACTAAAAACTCCATCCAAGTTACAGATTCTCTCTTGACAGGATGGTTTCCAGAGCAAGGAGGCAACAATCCCTAAATTCTCTGGGGTCAGCTCTTGATCATTTTCTTAATTCTGGATACCATGCTTTGAGAGAAGTATTGACAAACCAAGACAGTAAAGCTACTAGAAAACATGGCTCAAAAAACTATGGTTCAAAAAAGGGGAGGGGGCAGATTTTTGAGTTTAGCAAGGAAGAGAGAACGTGGAGGACCATGAGAACAGTCCTTATATACTCTTAAGTATTGTCACACAGAAGAAGAATCAAGACTATTTTCTATGCTCCATTGGGGGAACATTAGAGTGAAGCTAACTGTGGTACCTAGCTTTTGAAGGTAGAAAAAAGAAATCTTAAAGTAGATGCAAGTTCTTTGTAAATTGAAATGTTAAGCAGATGTAAGGCAGTAGCAGTAATAGTAACAGTAGTTGCAGCAGCAGCAGGGGGCATGTTCCCTGTTCTAAGGGATGGAGGGGAACGTAAAACAGGTACACAGATAGCTGTACTGCTACACAGACTGTGCCAAATGCCGTAAGACAAGCACAAACAGGAAGCCCAGAGAGCCAAGAATCACAAAAATAGAAGGAGTTTAACTTCACTAATCAGAAAAATACAACTTAAAATGAGATTACCATGATAAATACTCAACTTACCCCTTGGGAAGAAGTTATTACTTCTGGGAAGCCTTGAAATGGGACTTAGAGGAGAAGGCCTTTAGCAGAGAGAGAGGGAAGGACTAAACACACAGGACCAGGTAAGCAAAGGCTCAGGTGAGGGAAAGGACAAGGTGAGGACTCGTGAAGAATTCAGGTGCCTGGAGTGTAAAATAGCTGAAGGCGAGAGAGAACCAGGAAAACTGAAGCAGACAGACCATGGAGGATCTTGTAAGTCAAACTAAGACGTTTCGTCTTCATACATAAGGCGATGGAGAACCACTAAAATTCAAAGCTGTGTTTTAGGATGATTAATCTGATTTGCTTTATAGAATTTGTGAAGATGAAGTAAAGATTAGTTAGAATAGCAAGATGATTAAAACTGACAAGGTCAAAAAAAGATGCAGCCAGAACTAAAGACTGGGCTAGATGCAGAGATAGTTTGGAATGATCGATTGACTAGACGGCAGAGCTACACAAAAGGAAGAAGCAGAGAAAAAGCAACACCAAATTCTTCTGACTGGATAATATTCACAACTTGGAATCCAGGCAGAGAAATGTGTTCAATCTGGAATTAAAGACTCAGAAAGAGATAAAAGTTGCCAAGACAGAAAACTAAGGAAAAGACCATGATCCCAAATCTTTCTTTGATGAAGAAATCATCTTTTTTACCTTAAGGGAGTAGAAAATTAACCAGAGAACATGAGTCTGTAAGTTTAGAGACTGTGTTTTTTTACCCTGTATACCAAGGATCAAGCACAGTGTCTGACACATAGAAAGTTACAAAAAATACTTGCAGAACAGGAGTCAATGAATGAGAATATAAAGAACCCAGCTTAGGAGGCTGTAGCCTTTGATGTAGCTCCAAAACTGGCGGGCCCAATTTTGTCTTAAACTCCAAAAATTACATGAAACCACTTTATACAGGCTGTTATATACCCTTTTACTCTAATATATTGCCAATTAGATTATTTGTTCCACAATAAATAAACAACTTGGTTCTTTTTAGGATTTTAGAATTTTGACCATGCCCAGGATATTATTTCTTTTCAAAAATTATTTATTTATTTATTTATTTATTTATTTATTTATTTTAGAGAGGTGAAAGGGAGGGAGAAAAAGAGGGAGAGAAACATCAGTGTGTGGTTGCCTTTCACATGCTCCCTACTTGGGAACCTGGCCCACAACTCTGGCATGTGCCCTGACTGGGAGTCGAACTGGCAACTCCTTGGTTCACAGCCCGAGCTCAATCCACTGAGCTACACAAGCCAAGGCAGGAAATTATTTCTTAATTTAACACTTTGTCTTGATCAAATCACTATATCCTAGAACTAGGCAAAATCACTGTAACTTATTATAGATTGTGTAAATGAAAAAAACTTCTCATAAAAATTACACACTAGAATCAAAACTGGGAAAGAATTAAAGTTCTTATAAGTCACAAGTAATTCACTCAGTTCCCATAAATAACAAAATATTAAGTAGTGTGATCTCTATCTTCATCAAGTAAACACATTGAGTCTCAAGCACAGGGCATCCTACCTGTTTCAGGGCCAAGTGAGGCTTGTGGCGGCCCATTCTGTAGTGATTGCTGTAAAGGACTGCACATAACACACCTGTTTCCGCATCTAAGGTCTGGCTCTTCAGTGACAGCATAACCAGAGAGCACTCTCTGATTACAGCTGCGACACAAAGGCCTAAAGCAGAGAACTTTAATAAGGCTTAATGTTCATTAAGTGTATTATAGAAAAATACACTGAAAGAAGCATCTTTGCTTTTTTGTTTTATAGCAGCAATTTTCAACTTTTTTAATCTCATGGCACCCATAAACTAATTACTAAAATTACGCAGCTTACCAAAATATATATATTTTTGTGGATCTGACAAAAAATAGATATAATGTTGATTCATTCACGCCAGACAGCTATTGTTGTGTTGGCTTTTTATTTTTTTATTTGACGATCTAAGGGAGAAGAGGTCAGTGCCCCTGACTGACTAGTCAGGTATTGCATGTTTTAAAAATTCTTGCAGCACACCAGTGTGCCTGCCACAGCACACTGGCTGAAAATTGCTATTTTAAAGAAATCAAGAAAAAATAACCAGCCTTAACTGTAAAGGTATAATTAATGATTTAATTATGTGAGAAGTTGGAAAATGGTGACAGATGATATAAAGTCTGGAAATCAAGAGAATGTTAAACAAGTATGAGTATCTTTGCATCACATTTCTATGATTTTAATCTTTCACAGGAATGCTTTTCAGTCAGTCATTGGTGCACTCTTAACATCTTAAATACCTTTTAACATCTTAAATACCTTGATGGTGAGGCACATGTTGTATACTCCTCTGAATCCCCCATTTTGTTATGCACAAAAGCAAGACGCAATGGATAAATTCATGCTCTTAAAAGTCAAAGACACTGTACTTGGATACCACTTCAAGATAAGAATATATTAAGAGAAACTACCATGGAAACTGGAAATTACCTGATGAATGCCTGACTGAATACGGGCTCAGCAGAAAAAGGTAACTGCTTGCAAGTCAGAAAAGCTGTGTTCTGGCCCTGGCCAGGTGGTACAGTTGATTGGACTACCCATACACCAAAAGGTTGCAGGTTCAGTTCCTGATCAGCACACATATCCAGGATTTGGGTTCTATCCCTGGCTGGGGCACAGAGCAGAGATAACCAATCACTGTTTCTCTCTCTCTCTAAAATCAATAAACATGGCCCTGGCTGGTGTAGTTCAGTGGATTGAGTGCAGGCTACGAACCAAAGGGTCACCAATTCGATTCCCAGTCAGGGCACATGCCTGGGTTGAGAGCCAAGTCCCCAGCAGGAGGCGCACAAGAGGCAACCACACATTGATAATTCTCTCCCTCTCATTCTCCTTCTCTTCCCCTCTCTCTAAAAATGAATAAAATCTTTAAAAAATAAAATTTAAAAAGTTAAAAAAAGAAAAAATAAAATCACTAAACATGTCCTAGGGTGAGGATTAAAAAAAATACTAAAAAAGAAAAAAAAAAACCTATGTTCTGTATGGCTCTGAGGACAGCACTTCCATCCTGGGTGGAAATAACACAAAGGCAGATTTCTACACACTTGCTTTTGTCCCAACTACATGAGACCAGAATGGGTTGCCTTGGGGATGGGGAGTGAGTTGATGCATTTCCACACCTGATAGGAATCCCATTAAGGGATTTCTGAATGGAGGAAGAAGGAAGATATTCTGTAAACTGCATAGGACGGATGGATGTGAAGGAGGATGTAATAATTAGATGGATTAAAAGCATTTGATATTAATAATAGCAACTATCATTTAAGGGTTTATTTACCATATCAGGCACTGTTCCAAATGCTTTACCTATGACATTAACTCTTTCATTCCTCAAAATAGGCCAAAGAGGCAAGTAATGTTTTTATCCTCACATGAAAATGAGTTGAGGCACAAAAAGGATAGATCAGCAATTTTCAACTAGTGTGTCAGAACTTTTTTAGTTTTATTTTATTGTTTATGCTGTACAGCTGTCCCCACTTTTTCCCCTTTTGCCCACCTTCACCCAGCCCCCCACTCCCTCAGGCAATCCCCATGCCATTGTCCTTGTCTACGGGCCATGCATAGATGTTCTTTAGCTAATCAATTCCTTCACCATCTTTTATCCAGTCTCCCCACACACCCCTCAAAGGCTGTTAGTCTGATCTATGTATCTATGCTTCTGTTTCTATTTTGTTCATTACTTTCTTAGTTTATTTTGTTCATTAGAGTCCACATGTAAGTGAGATCATATGGTATTTTTCTTTCACTGACTGGCTTATTTCACTTAGCATAATAGTCTCCAGGTCCATCCATACTGCCAAGAAAGGTTAAGAGGTCCTTCTTTTTTACTGCTGTGTAGTATTCCATTGTATAAATGTATCACAGCTTTTTCACCCACTCATCTCCCGATGGGCATTTATGCTGTTTCCAGATCTGGGCTATTGTAAATAACACTGCTATGAACACAGCAGTGCCTATATTCTTTTGTACTGATGTTTCACAATTCTTAGGATAGATTCCCAGAAGTGGAATTGCTGGGTCAAAAGGCAGGTCCATTTTTAATTTTTTGAGGAAACTCCATACTGTTTTCCACAGTGGCTGCACCAGTCTGCATTCCAATAGTGTACCACAGTTCCCTTTTCTCCACATCCTCGGGGCAAGAAATTTTAAAACATGTAATACCTGATTGTTGGGAACCGCCCTGACTGGTATCAGAAGCTGAAACCCCCGCCTAGGCTAAGGCTAAGGGAATACCCTTGGAACTGTAAGCCAGCAAGGAGACAGAAGCTTATCTTCCTGGCAGGAATGCTGCTTCTGCTGCTTTATTCATGACTGAACCCCCAAAAAGCTTGGTCGGTTAGCCAAAGACGGGTAAGATTCCCCACAGGGGGAACGACCTAAGACAGGCACGATCCCTTTGGGAGGCCCCCCAAAAGAAGGACTTGGGAGGCTGCAGCAAAAGGGGGTGATGGACCCTCACTCCTCAGCTTTGACATAGCCTGAGTTCTCATCTTCTGGGAAAAAACCTCCTTGTCTCCCAGTTGCCTTAGTTCCCTTGCTCCACCTAAACCTGAAACAATGACAGGGTGGTGCAGCTCTGTACTGAGAAGTGCAGATTCCCCGGGGGTGATCAGGCCTAAGAAAGAACATGTAAATTACTGTGAAACCTTCTTTGTTTAGAATGCTCTCAGTTGAATGAGAAGGGTCTTAGGAGGAAGTTATTTTGTTTCTCAGTCTTACAGCTCTTTGACCCCCAACTCAATAGACCGGCAGAGTTTCTTGTTTTCTATGGTTCCTTACTTCCCCCCTAATGAGTACTGTACTTTACCTGAATTATTATGCAGAATGAGCCCAATAAAAGCAGGTATGGACTGTAAATCGGCGCGCTCCCCACTAAGGGGGGTGGCCATTTCGTCCCTACTTCCCCACAGAAACTAGTCTGTCTCTGTGCATGTTGTTTTATCTCGCGTATTGTTGAGCCATCCACAGCGTTCCACGGTCACTGCTGGCCGGGGACCCACGCACAAAACCTGATAATTTAGTCAGGGGCACTGACCTCTTTTCCCTTATACAGTTAAATAAAAAAATCACAAAAGCCAACACAACAGTAGCTGTCCAGTGCGAATGAATCAAAATTATACCTATTTTTTTGCCAGATCAGCTAAAAAAATATATTTTTGGTGTGCCACAGAATTTCTGTAATTAGTTTATGTGTGCCACGAGATGAAAAAGGTTGAAAATCACTAGACAATAACAATTCCCAGCAAAGGGAAGAGACACAATTCAAACTTAGGCAATCTGGCTGCTACGCCCTATTGCCTAAAAATGTCAACACCATCATATACTGGTAAAATACTTTAAGAGCACTCTCCCCTTTACTAGACATGGGGTGATCACTTCATAAGTTACATAAATGTCTAATCATTTATGGTACAACTGAAACTAATATAACATAGCACGTCAACTGTAATTGAAAATTCAAAAGAAAATGTTAAACTAATCTGCTATTACGTATTCTGCCAAGTACTTTTTCCAAGTTCGTTTTTTTAATTATAAATATTGATGTTTGCATCTTAAATTTTAAACTGTGTGGTCAAAAATAAATGCTTGTTTATGTCTATTCTAAATATAGTCAGTGACCATAATTTTAAAACCAATAGCGGGGCACACTGTATGCCAAAGACTATTATGCAATCGTTCATTTTGCATGCATTGCTTGAGTGCCTACTGTGTGCCAGGCACTGTACTAATTTCTGGGTATATAATGATGAACTAGAATCACACAGAGTGATCACAGAGCAGAATATTTAAAATTGAAGCTACCTCAGAAAATCTAGATTGACTGTTGTAAGTATACATCGTAACTTGTTGGATATTACCAATAAAAATATAAAATAAAGATGAGCGTCATAAGATGCTCCCAACAACGGGTGATGAGTAGGGAGGACTAACCCCATTTTACAAATGAGGAACCAGAGGCCCAGAAAGATCGCGGTTTAAGTCCAGAGTGCCTAAGTGGCCCCCTCCGGCCGCTCGCAGGCAGAGATCGGAAGAAGACCGAAGGTAAAGCGGGCTCCTGGTGGCCCTTGGGAGGGAGCACAGGGTTCCCACACAGCACTCTTCCATGACGCCAGCCGAGTCCGCCTCTCTCCTCCCCCTCTGCACGGGGCTGGGCCTTGGGACTGGCTAGCTCCAGCCCGGCTCTGAGGTAGCCACAGCTGGTCACAAAGAGGCTGCGAAACCATAAGCCGCCCAAGACTCCTAGGCAAACTCTGAGCCTAACACTCGCTGCAAGGAACCCGCACCCCACCCCAGCGCCCTCGGCCCCGGAAGTCCCGCCCTCCGCGCACGTGCGCCGCCGGGGCCCAACACCACCCCCAAAACGTCGGTCGGTTCGCAGAGTGCCTCACTCACCCAAGGACTCGCTGGAGTCCTGTACTCTCACTGCGCTGCTGCTCCCCGCTTTGGGGATTCTCACGCGGTTCCAAGGCTCCAGGCCCGGCAGCACCGCAGCCATCCTGCGAGACAGGGAGGGGCCAGGAAAGGCGGAGCTGGGCGGGACCGGTCGTGCCACCGAAGGAGGAGAGAGGAGACGAGACCGAGTGTATGGGGTGGGGGGGAGAAAGAGAGCTGAAGGGCTGGGGCGGGGCCAGAGGCGGGGCGCGGGGAAGGGGCGGGGCCCTCACGGAGTCGAGGAGCAAACCCAGTGAACTAGAAAGGACCGCGGTAGTCTCCATAAACCTGGACGCGTTATTTGGAAAAGTTTGGGGGAGGAAGCCCTATCCTGAAACTACCCAATCAAACTCTTGGAGATAGGGTGAGGAAATCTGCAATTTTTTATGCTTACCTACAGGGGTTATTAAGGCACAACCAAGTTTGTAACTGCGATAGTTGAAGGCATTTTACGGATGTGGAAACTGAGGCCGAGAGTTGAATTTGTGTATGCATCCCCCAACTCTGCCTCAGGCCTTAGGGGGAAAGGACGAAATGAAATAAAGAGGATTATGCAAAGTGTAGAATTCGTAACACAGGAGTGATGTACTTTGAGATAGTCAAGGCTCCTGTGTCTTGAGCAATAGCAAAACCGCACAATCACATCAAAGAAACTTGGAAGTTGGCTGACTATCAATTCCATCCTCAATATCCAAGACTAGACATTATTCCAAGCTCTGCTGATCCTTACCTCATTATTATCCTTTAAATAGTTCATTTATCTTCAACCACACTGATACCACCTTACTTAAGTAGTTAAGACTCCTACAGTAATGTATTAGAGAGGCAGTTTGTGGGTTTCAAAGACACTGCCAAGGTTCTAATTAAAGCTCTGCCCGTTTACTGGCTCTGTGATCTCAGAAAAGTTACTTAATTCCTCCAAACCTTAGTATTCCTATAGTAAAATGAAAATAATAATAGTCTCTGCCTCACAGACTTGTAAATGCTTTAGAACAGTGCCTAGCACAGAAACATTTGCCAGAATTAATATTGTTGATATTAGTTCTAATGTTTAATACAAGTAGGCTTGCCTTACTGGACCACTCCCCATGCCCCATGTGCACCTTGCACTCACTAACTTCTCTACCTGGACCATCCTTCTGGAACACAATCTCCCTTCCTCAGCTCTGGTGTCATCTCCTCTGGGTAATTCTTCCTGAACATTTCTTCCCCACTCCATATCTTGTAATAGAGACCTCTTTATGTACTACAGTGTCTTGTGTTGACCTCTGTATTAGCTTCCTATTGCTGCTATAACGAATTACTACAAATGTCATTTACAACAATACAGTCATATGACTGTACTGCAGGTCAGAAGTCCAAAATCAACCTCACTGGACCAGAGCCAACAGGGCTGGTTCTTTCTGGAGGCTCTAGTGGAGAATTCACTTCCTTGCTTTGTCTAGCTTCTAGAGACCACCTGCATTTCTTGGTTCATGTCTCCATCCTCCATTTTCAAACTCCGTAGCATAGCATCTTCCAGTCTCCTTCCACCCTCTGTCTCATCCTGCTGCCTGCCTCCCTCTTAAAAGGACCCTAGGGATTATGTTGAACCCATCAGAATAATGGGATAATCTCCCCATCTCAGAATCTTTAACTTAATCATATCTACAAAATCTGTTTTGTAATGTAAAGTAATATATTCACAGATTCTGGGGATTACGATGTGGACATTATTGGGGGGGCATTATTCAGCCCACCACAGACTCGCACAATTTTCCGCATTTTATTGTGTTAATTTCAATGTCTCCTTCTCCAGTGGCCTGTGAGTTTACTGAAGGCAATATTATCAGCATAGGATACTGACCTCTGTATCTCAATGCTTTGCTCAGAGCCTGGAAAAGCTCAAGTGTAGTAGGACCTCAGTAAATTTAACAGCTTTATTGAGGTATAATTAATATACAAAGAACAGCACATATTGAATGTGTATAATTTCCTGAGTTTATCAATATTCACTGGCTGAGTAAGAGACTAAATGATGCTTGAATAGAGTTTTTGAAGGTTGAATAGGATTTTCCTGGGCACATAAGAGAAGGACACCGCTGGCAGAGAGGTATTAATCAACATGGGCTGAACGACGCACCAGTGCTGGGTCAGTATTGCTGGAGCATGCTGTGTGCTGAGGGGTGAAGCTGGGAGTAGTGGTGTCTGATCATGGGCAGAATTCGGATTTTCCCCTGAAGACTGTGGTTCCTGAACCTGGCTGATCAGAATTTCCTGGATAGCTTTTAAAAATAGAGTTTCTCAGACCCCACTTTGGAAATTCATATTCAGTAGGTCTGAGTAGAGCTCTAATCTGTGTCATTTAAAAGGTTCTTGTAATGGTGGGCAGGGCTGGGGAGCCCTTGGTGTAGGTGATGAAGGAGTCACTGAGTCTTAGGCAGGGCAATTTCAGTCACCTTGCATCAGAGGACGAGCACACTGGAGAACAGATTTTAAAAAGATGGGACTAGCCCTGGCTGGTGTGGCTCAGTGGACTGAGCGCCAGACTGTGGATTGAAAGGTCACCAGTTTGATTCCCAGTTAGGGCATATGCCTGGCAGTGTGGGCCGTCAAAGTTTCTCTCCCTCTTTCTCCATCCCTTCTGCCACTCTCTAAAAATAAATACATAAAATCTTTAAAAAATAAAGAGATGAGGCTGGAGGTAAGGTAGTGTGATGCAAAACATCATAAGAGCCTAAATTTAAACAATATCACTGAAGATGGACAGTATGACTTATTTAGATGTCTAGTGTTTAGATATTTAGGTATCTAGTATGACTTCCAGATTTTACCTTGAGTTTAAGAGATAGCATTCAAAAGAACAGATTTAGGCATGGATAATGAGATAACTTTTTTTTTCTATTTATTTGTTTTTATAGAGGGAAGGGAGGGAGATAGAGAGAGAGAGAAACATCAATGTGCAGTTGCTGGGGGTTATGGCCTGCAACCCAGGCATGTACTCTGGCTGGGAATCGAACCTGCGACACTTTGGTTCGCAGCCCGTGCTCAATCCACTGAGCTACGCCAGCCAGGGAAGATAACTTTTGATATACTGAGTTTGAGATTTCCTGTGGGCTGTCTACAAGAATGTGTTTGATTCACCAGATAAACAGATGGAACTATAGTTCAAAGGGTAATTACAAAGAGAGGAAGTAGAGGTGGTGAATATAGGATGTTTTAAAAGCTTCAGTAAGGACGGAAAACAGTTTATATGGTAATAATGAGATGCAGGATCAAGCAGAGTATGGAGGATATTGTTTTGTTTTGTTCTGATTTTAAGGATAGTATATCAGTCAGGGTTCTACCAGTCAAACAGAACCAGTAGAAGAGATAGATCGATAGATAACAGATAGATGATGTTAAGGGATATATTGAAAGAAATTGGCTTACACGATTGTGGGGATTGGAGGATAGTGGAGTCTCAGACCCATAGGGCAGGCAATCGGGAAGAGCAGGCTGGGAACTCTCAGGCGTGGGCTGATGCTGCTGTCCACGGTGGGATTTCTTCTTCTTCCTCCCTGTCCTCAGTCTTCAGGCTTTTAACACTGTTTAGACCGGGCTCACCCAAATTACCTCAGATAATCTCTTTCACATCGAGTCGACTTATTGTAGCTCATAATCACCTCTACAGAATACCTTTACAGCAACACCTAGACCGCATTTCAATCGAATAACTGAGTACTAGAGCCTAGCGAAACCGACACATAAAACTGACCAGCAGACAGGAGATTGTTTGATCACACATACAGGCTAAGGGAAAAGAGTCAGAACAGTGAGAGAAGATGGGCATACTAAAGAGATAAAGGGGAGGGAATTGATGCAGCAAGACTCAGTATTTATTCAATAAACTATTTGAGCATCAGCTATTTGCCAGGCGCCATACTGGGTCCCAGAGGAGATGAGCAGAGATGGAATGTAGTGCTCAGAAGGAGGGGTTGTCTTAAACTTCAAAAAGCCTTTCCTTTCTCTGAGCCAGAAGAATGTTAAAGATGACCTTAGATGTGGATGCCTGGGGTGGGGTCATGCATAGGTGAGGGAGCCCCCAAAAAGAGCCTCTGTTTTGTCAGTGGAGGTGGATCTGTGACCATTGCCAAGAGTGGAGGGCAGGGAGATGGGGTTCTGGTGAGCAGTGGATATTCGAAATCAGAGCTTTCTTGAACTGAGGGATGTGGAAGAGGCATGGGCTACATGCATTAGAGGGAAAGTCAGGCTTTAGGGCCATGCTCTAAAATGTCCTGGTCTGCAAAGAAAGACTGCCACAGACACAAGTGACCATTAAATATATGAAACCTTGTCTTTCTCATCAATGACTTAAGAAATACAGGTTAAAATAATTTTGAGGTGCTGTCAAATATACAAAGAGAAAAAAGTATGTCCCACGTTACTAGGCTTTAGACACAATTTTAGGTAAGAAGTGATCTTTTGTCGTTATCATCACAAAAAGAGAATATGATACTATATTCATACCGTGAATCAGTTGTTTTCTAATATTTTGGCAGTAGACTTCTTTTTCCCCATAAAGTCTTACACAGAAATCAAAAACATAAAACAAAACAAAACAACCAGTGTAAGCAGAGTTGCCGTGGGTAAAGGTGGATGTAGAACATGGGGCGCTCCCACTGAGGCCTCCTGCCCAGGTTCCTGGAGGCGGCACATAAAACTCTCCCTAGGGATAGTTTGGAACCCACTGTTGTAAATAAGTAAGTATGTGTTGACATGAGCAATTTTTGGTGATACAGTAAAGCATTTTTTAAAACTGTATGGACAATGTGATTCCATGAAAAACATACATATCTACACACTGAGAAAAAGTCTGGAAGGATCTAAATTTAAGTGTTAACAATGATTATCTTTCCAGCAGTAGGATGGATCTGTTTTTTTCTAAGAGCTTATTTGTATTTTCTATTTAAAGAAAAAAAATATGTATTGCCATTGTAATAAGAAAAAAATATTTTTATGTCAAAATAGTGTCTACCAAAGTCTTAGGTTTGTGTGTGTGTGTGTGTGTGTGTGTGTACACCAACATATTAAACAACAAGTACTTTTGGCCCATCTAGCTGTGGAGTCTGAGCTTCAATCCCACCCTTGTGTATTTTTGTGATTCTGTGCCTGGGCCTTTGCAAAACCA